GGAACAGAGACAAGACCAGCAGTGACTCCCACGACGGGGCAGCATGGGCAACACACGCACGGAGACGGGGCCAGACGGGCAACACACAGCACGGAGACGGGGCAGGCGGCGACAACCCAGCACGAGACGGGGCAGGGACGGGCAGCCTCACACCCAGCACGGAGACGGGCTGCAGATGGCAGACACCCAGCTACGAGAGTTGGCAGGACGGTGATGACACACAGCACAAGAGGCGGCAGACGGGCAGACACCCGCCAACGAGACGGGGCAACGAGGCAGACCCCCAGCACGAGACGGGGCCAGGATGGGCAGACACACAGCACGCAGACGGGGCAGGGATGGGCAGACACACAGCACGGAGACTTGCGGGGCAGCGGATGGGCAGCACACACCAGCAAGGATGGGGGAGACGGCAGACAACCCAGCAAGAGGCAGCGGATTTTTTTTGATGTGTGAGCGTGTTGTGATTTAAGGTCAGTGTTTTTGAGAGAGGATGGCTCTGCATTTGGTGCTCTGGCTGGGGTGGTTTTTTTTGTGTGGGCCAGTTCAGTGTGGCTTTTCCTTTACCATTAATCAGGCCACTGTGTAGGTTCTGTGCTCTCTTCCTCCGCTGCGCATTTCCACCGCCCCAGAATACCCCACCAGAACAGGAGGGGCCAATACCACGAGCCTTCCCTGCGAAAGCCCCTCCGCGAGTCAGCTCTCCTTGGAAGGGCCAGCAGGAGATATCAGGCAACAGCCGCATGGCCCAGGTGGGGAGGCCATCGATCATGCACCCCTGACACTTCTGAGGGGCCCGGGGAGACGGGTCTCACACCGCAGCCCATTTGAGACACAAGGAGGCCAGGACAGTCCCAGGTTACAGTTTCCAAGCATGACCTCGAAGAAGCGTCTGCGGAGACCAGCCCGGTCTGCCCACTTAGGGTTCGTCACCCCCACCTGAGGGAGAGCACAAGGGCAACCATACCCCAGCCTGGCCGCAGGGCACACACAGTTAAGTGCAGGGGAGGACCCTGGCCTGGTGACACTTGGGGAGGGCCACAGTGACCCTTTCAAGTTACAGTGGCCCACATGGCCCCCTGCAGGGCCCTCAGGCACCACCTAGCGGGCCTGACCAGCAGCCCAGCCGGACACGTGGGAGCAAGCCTGCGCACCACCGCCCAGGCCAAGCCTACAGGGAGCAGGGCCCCATCTCCTGATATCCACCCTGGAGTGGGCAGCAGCCTGTGGGTACACAGAGGAGTAAGGAGTGCCCCCCCAGAACAGGCACCAGCATGGTAGGAGGAGGTGGGGGTGGGCAAAGGAGGGCAAGGAGCCATAAGGTTACGCGAGACTGGGGGGGGAACTGCAGGCGACAGGAGCTTTCTTCCCCGGGGGTCTTGGTCAGCGCTTGCCCCTCCCTACAGTGGGCCTCCCAGGCTCTGAAGAGCCTCCAGTGCTTCAGCTCGGCAAAGCCTCTTATCCGGGCCAACCACTGGCTTAACACTGTGAGATGCGGAAGCAGGTGTGCCCCTCACCCCCACTACCCACAGTCCTCTCCTTCACCCTGGTAGGACCATTGGCAGGCCTCCTTATGTTCCCTCTCCCTGGGCTGCCACTCCGCCTCCTGGCTTTCCCCAGGGCCCACTTCGGGCCATGCATCCCATCACCTTTTGTACCAGCAGGGCTCGAGCGATCCTGGCTAAGGACACTTCAATTCTTGCCAGTCCAAACCTCAGAGACTCCACCGGACGGTCTCCACATCTCATTCCGGGTCAAAGCCCAAAGCTCCCTCCAGCACTGCCTCTATGGGCCCACCGGTGACGGCCTCCCTGGGGCGGCCGCCTCCTGCCACCTGCGGACTCACCTCCCCGGCCGCCCTCCTTGCCACCTGGGAGACTTCACTCCCCACGCCGCCCTCCTGCACCTGCGACTTCACCTCCCCACGCCGCCCTCCTGCACCTGCGACTTCACCTCCCCACGCCGCCCTCCTGCACCTGCGACTTCACCTCTCCACGCCGCCCTCCTGCACCTGCGACTTCACCTCCCCACGCCACCCCTGGGCTCTAGGCCCACATGGGCAGCCTCCTGCACCTCCGACTTCACCTCCCCACACCGCCCCGGGTTAACTTCACTCCTGGCCCACAGGTCTCTGCTGCTCCTGAATGAGCCGGACAAAACCCTGCCTTAACGCTTTCCTAGGCCAGATGCAGACAACCAAGCCCTGGTTGCTGACCCAGGAGCAGCTGTCTGGTCACCCTGCCGCCATGGGCAACAGCCCCAGTACCAACACCTGCCCAGGTAACTCCCCTGGGAGGGCCAGGCAGGTCACGGCCCACACTGTTCTCTGCTCCGAGCTGACCTCTCCACTCCTCTAGACTCCCATGTGTCAGGGGCTCTCATTCACGCCCCCGCTGAAACATCCACGTGGAGCCATTAGTGCTGGAATGAAGGCAGCCCGTTTCCTGTATGCGGTGGGTCAGGCTCTTCTCTTTCCAGGCAGGATCTCGTCTCATTTGCGCCTCCCTCACAAACTGTTAGCACCATGCAGGATCAAAGCGAATAAGGCCTCCTTACCCAACCTGGCAACCCCCCAGGCATCAGATCCCCCTGCCAAGTCCATCGTGGGAACAGGAGGTTGCCAGCCAGAAAACCCAAGACGTGATGAAGGGAGTGGGGAACGAGAGCCGCCAATCAAGGAAGAGCAGCCAGGCGGAAGGGCACTGCAGAGGGGCCACCTTCCACGATGCTCGTCCCAGTAAAAGGCCCGGAGGAGACCTCTACTTACAGCCATGGTACCAGGTAGTACCTCCTACCTCAAACAAGCAGAAAACACATTTAAACAAACACACGCACAAAACTAAGGGATGCAGCTAAAACAGTACTTACAAGGAAATTACTGCTTTAAATTCTTATATTAGAAAAGAGAAAACAACAAAATCAATGTCTAGAAAGTCCACCTAAAGAAGCCAGTAAATTAAACACAAAGGAAGTAGAACAGAGATAATAAAGGTTAAGTTCAACAATTAATAAAATAGCAAACAGACCAATAATAGAAACAATAAAATTTAAAAGCATTCAAAACATTATACAACTCTGCCTAGACAGGTCAAGAGGAAGAAAAACCACACTAGCAAAATACCAAGGTCAAGAACGAAAGACTGAACCTGACTGCAGATCCAGCATTAAAAGAACGTTAAGGAAACACAAAATCCTATCAGGCCCAAAAATTTGACAACTAAGATGAAATAGAAAAATTCCTTAAAAGACATGAATTATATCAAAACTGACTCAAAAAGAAATAGAAAACCTAAATAGCTCTATAAGTATGGCAAGAATTCAATTTGTGCTTAAAAACATTGCTGCAAATACACAGGCGCAACAGGCTTCAAGATCAGTATCACGCAATCCCCTAGAAAACAGACAGGAGACACACATTGTATGAGGCTCGCACTACCCTGATAACAAAACCCAAACAGATCATCTAAAGGAAGGAAGCCCACATATCACTCACAAACCCAGCAGCAAAAATCTTCAATACAATTTTAGAAAAATGAATTCAACTATATATGAAAGAGATAGTACACCATGACCAAGAGGCACTTACCCAGGGGATACAAGGTTGGTTCAGCATTCAAACATCAGTGAGTGTAATTCTCGTATCAACAGAGCAAATTTAACAAGGAGAAAAACATCTTAATAAATTCTGCAGAAAAAGCATGTGACAAAATTCAACACTCATTCTAGACTAAAACTTCCTTGAGTTTAGTTCCTAGTTTCCTTAACTAGAAAAAAGAAGGGGACTCCCTCAAGCTGATACAGAGAGTCTGTTAAATAAAAAACAAAACAAACATCTAGGATACTTACAGCAAAAGATGGAATGCTTCCCCGTAAGATGGGGAACAAGGCAGGTATGTGTGCTTTCACTACTTTTACTCCTCATATTATAAGTTTACCTAGGAATAAGGGGGAAAGACCTAAGAAGCATAAAGATTGAAAATGAAGAGTAAAACTGTCTTCAGTCACAGAGACGTGTACATCTATACAGAAAATCCCGGCTACGCGCAGTGGCTCACACCTGTAATCCCAGCACTTCAGGAGGCTGAGGTGGGTGGATCATGAGGGCAGGAGATCGAGACCATCCTGGCTAACATGGTGAAAGCCCGTCTCTACTAAAAATACAAAAAATTAGCCGGGCGCGGTGGCGGGCGCCTGTAGTCCCAGCTACTCAGGAGGCGGAGGCAGGAGAATGGCATGAACCCAGGAGGAGGAGCTTGCAGTGAGCCAAGATCGCACCACTGCACTCCAGCCTGGGCGACAGAACGAGACTCCATCTCAAAAAAAAAAAAAAAAAAAAA